AGGAAGAAAGGGTGCCGATGGTGGGTAGGACGTGGGAGGTGAGGTGAGGATGCATCATGTTTATCTTCAACTTGCTATTTTTGCTACAATTCGCATGTAACCTTATTCTATAATGGCCCGTTCCATGGGGAGGAGGTGGGGGGCGCCCTGTGAAGAGCTTCGTAAGCGACAGCGAAATAACTATATCTCGCCTGTACTTCATGAATGAACCATGGGATATCCCGGACGGGTGAAACAGTTCAGTCCAGTTTGGGGGAGGCACTCCATTGTGCTCTCCAATACTAAGGATAAGGATAAGAGTTTTCATGACACGTAATCGATTCATTTAAAATTACTTCTGATAAGGACCGGTGTAGTGTGGAAGTACTCCTAAGGTGCTTTCAGATTTCGGCCTGCTGTGGTCCAAGGAAATGGTCCTGAACTAGGGTATGGACATCCTTTCCTAGGCGCAAGGGTGTAGGAGCCCAGGGTGGACGATCACATACCATAAATTGCCTAGGATGTGAGCAGGATGTGCGTGATGTAGGGCATACATTATCAAAAGTGCACTTGAAATGAGTCGTTTACCTATTATCTTATCCATAGGGTTGAAGTCCAAAGGAGTGCTCTCTAGTACTACGGATAAGATAATATTGAGTGCCCCCCCCCGAACTGGAGTTTCACCCCTGACAGTCTTCACGGCAGTCCCGAGATGTCTCAGTGTCTCGATTAACCGTTTTACCGCCCAGTCAACTTTAGCAATGAGGGCACTTACGTCAATGGGTAAGCAGGTTGGAGCTTTTTGATCAGTTCTACTAATCCGACTTTAGCCGATTAGCACTCACCGAAACAGAGCCCTTGGTCGCGGCCGTCTCATCTGAAGCTTTTGATCATCTCCTCGTACGACAAATTCACGAGCCAAACCGAAATCCAATATGTGTAGAAACCGATAATCCGGCGTATTGATTCGTCCGACTGCCACATTGGCTGGTTTCAAGTCTCGATGTATGAAGCCAATCTGGAGTGAGAATTCAAGCAGCAATATTGCGCAGTAAGAGAGCAGTTCAAAGTTGAGCACCAACATCGTGAATTTGTTTCACACCAAAGAGAACATTGATGCCTACACGAGTCTGTGTAGATAAACTAGAAATACGTCCCATTCTCCTGAAATTGTTGCTTGTAAAAGCTGCAGTATCATTGTTGAACCAATCTAGCCCTACGGTATGACGTAATTTGAGTACCCCCTCCCCCACCCGAACAGGAGTTTCACCCCCTGAGTCTACACGACAGTCCCGAGGTCAGCAGGAAGCATGCTCAGACGGCTTGTATGTCGAAAATCGGCAACCATTTTACCCGGAATGTCACCAGTAGGAGAGGTTTAAAGGCAAATCTGGGATTTCTGGACGTAATAGAGCCCTTGCGGAAAACTGTGGAGGGGTACTCAAGCGCAGACCATATGCCACTGGGTGAACCTTTTTTTAAAGCCACGAGTCAGGATTAGGTGGCCATAGAACGCTTTTCCATCACTAAAATGACCAGGACTGCGCTCAGAGGGCTGACGCACACGCTCCTGACTCGAGATTGCGCGGCGAGAAGGCCCGGCCTACTACTTACAGCGATGGTTCGTTGCATCAGCTGTCCGCCACTGGCATGTGTTGAGTGCTGCTAAACGTGTGAAAAGAGGTAGGGTGATTAGCCGTATCAACCGGTGGAATGGCTGGATATCAGAAAGTCGATCTGAGTGGCGCCTCTCTCAAACAAACTCCTCCATGTAGTGGGGTGGTAGCGGGTTTTCGGCCTTGTCGACGGTTTCTTTTCGTTTTTTCTCAACTGTCGTTTCACTCCCCATCTCAACGCGCAATTTCAGGCGCCATAATGCCCAAACACAAGCCTGACTCTTGCGTTTAACAATGTTGAGCGCTAAACCCGGGGATGTACCATGGAGATCACAAAGATAAATCCCGCCAGTAAAGTCGACGTAATTCGCGTCGATCGCTGTTTCTGGGGGGGAGTGGGGTTTCAGGTCGACGATTATTCATTTTCATACTGCTGGCTGGTCTAATCCCGCCAAATCGCTATCGTCTAATTCGATGAACTCGAGCTCGCCTACTCGCAATCGCCTATCGCGTAATCGCACTGAATGCTGATCGCCTGATCGATAGTATGCCTTCATTCTTACAATATTCATACGTACCTTTTTCTTGTGGACTAATGTTAATCGGCTCGCACGTACGACGAACTTGAACGCCCATAATTATCTGTACTGCGTGTCGTTGCGTGGATATGAGAGAGTATCTTTGAATCATTTGAATGAACGCGATTTGTCGTTTCAAGATGGACACATCTGAGCGTGTGCAATCAGCAATGAAGTGATTGTTTTTTATGGTGTTTACTGTTGCCACTGGGATATCAGAACACAGACCGCTATTTCACCTGGGAGAACACTTCAGGATTTCGTATGGAACCGTTCACAGAGCTGGTTAGGCGATTAGGCGATCATTTAAAAAGATAGTTTACGTATCGATCAGGCGATTGGGCGAGTATCGAGAAGTCGATTGGGCGAATAGGCGAGTAGGCGACAAGAGAAGGACACGTATTGGTTTGCTCCGCCCATCAAGCGATCGATAACTTCGTATAGCATACATTATACGAAGTTATATGGAACGGGACGCAATCTACTATATAAACCAGTTTAGCTCCGCCCGCTACCGCGCGCATGACACGGAAGCCTCTGACAAAACTGACAATCGGTGAAGCTTTGGGTTTCACCGCTTAACTATAGCTGCTTCGTTAAATGCATTACTGTCCGTTGCCCATCTTGGCTGTATCTCACTGTTTGATAAGCGCAGTGAAGTGCACAGCTAAAGTGATGTATGTAAACAACCACCATGCATCGAGAATCGAGGAAATTTAGCGGTCGAATAATTTTTGGTAATCTCAAGACGGAATGCCCAGTATTCACTATCAAATTTATTAGAGCATCCCATTCATCCTCAAGAACTCTAGAAGGTGTAGCGGTTGAAAGGTGTTTGAATTTACAATTATAACGCTAATGAAATGATATTGAATGCATGAAATGCATTATCTGCAATCTGGATTTGAATTCTCTACGTTCGTACGCATATCGTAATTATCAGTCCTCATCTGTCGTTATCACTTTTTGACCCCCACAAAACATGTTACCGTCCCACCCCATATCATGTCCCAAAATCAGCTCCTGACGACTGCTGCGAAGCGCACTATGAAATTTTGTGTGAAATTGTGTTTCAGCGCCTCTTGCTCTTATTATATCAGTCCCCATCTGCCTCCTCGCAAGGATGAACAGCTCTTATCGATCTTATTTGATCTGACATCTTCCACGGTGAATGAGACAACAATCATGGGAGATTTTAACCTGGCTATTGATTGGGAGACAGGGTCAGCAATCTGCCCTAGTGCGATAAAATTCGTTGAATTGTTTGACTCCCTCTCACTCCAACAGCATGTGCATATACCCCAGGGAGGATAAGATTATCGACCTGGTCTTATCCTCACAGGACAGTGTTTTCGCACTTGACTCTCTCCCACCGCTAGGCACTTCTGATCACAACATAATTACCTTCTCAATGGTCAATACTAGTAAGTGGCATCCACCCAAAAAGTGCAGAGATTATAAGCGCTGTAATAAGAGGGAGATCATGCAACTGCTCTCCTCGATAAATTGGTTGTCAAATTTTTGCAAATTATGCCTGATATGGATGACGTGTATAGCAGATTCTGCGCCAGTATTCAAAGTATTATTGATCAACATGTTCCAGTCAGGGTGATGAAAGGTGTAGGATAAACTGAGTACTATATATTGCAAATTCTTTCAGCAGAAGCTCGAATATATCAGTTTGCACAGCTTGATAAGCATTTGAAACGCTTTCTGGACTACAAAATCAGACGTATTTCTGCATCCAAAAATATACATAACCTTGCTTTGATGGTGAGTAAATATACCAAATTCATTCCGGCGAACCATGTAATTATCAAAGAGGACTGAACCAAAGTCTCGGATGACGCTTCTAAAGCAGAAGCGTTTGCCGACTACTTTGTAGCGTTTTCAAATCGCGGACCTATGAGACACGTTTGTCCACCAGCAGTATCAGTTTGTTGTCAGCTCCGGTTATTACCCCAAACCTAGTTGCTAATCATCTAGCCACCCTCAAACCATTCCCTCTCACCACGGCGGATAACATTCCTCAGTATTTCTTCAAACACTTTAGGGAAGCCCTTGCGATTCCATTAGCACACATTTTCAACCTTCCTTGCTAACAGGTGAGGTCCCCACCATTTGGAAAACTGCCTGGGTTACACCAATACCTAAACTGTGTAATGCTAGGAAAATTTCTGACTTCAGGCCCATAAGTATATTGGTCACGTCCCGATGAAAGTTCTTAGAAAATACTGATGAAAACAGTGGCTTGTGGTTGGCTAGTTACAAAAAACATTCCGGGAACACAGGGTGTGTCGGGAGGCGTCTAATGCAACCACTAGTGGACTGCACATATGATTGGGCGTTGGCTCTTACGGGATACAATGTGGATGTAGTCTACTTCGATCTAAGCAAAGCGTTTTATACAGTGTGTCATCATAGCCTTTGAAGCAAATTGGACGCCATTGGGGTGAGAGGAAGCTTCTGAATGGTTTAGATCCTATCTAAGAGGTAGGAAAATGGTGGTACGCATTTCTGACTGCTGTTCCCGTCCCAGAGACTGTAGTTCAGGGGTGCCCAAGGCGGAATTCTTTCACCAGTCCTCTTCTTAGTTTATACGAACGATCTGCTGGTGCAGCTTAAAACCCACCCTTGTATCAGAGTGGCAGCATTCGCTGATGATGTAAAAGTTTATGCAATCTACAACTCCCAAGATAAAGAGGTAGTCCAGACAGCTCTTAATAAGTCGGTGGATAAGATGATAGAGTGGACCAGTGAGTGGAATCTGAGTGTCAACTTTTCCAAAAGCCACCTTCTCTCTTACTGAAGACTCACTCAAAGTTTATTGTCCACAGTATGGCCACCTTGCCTCTTGTGATCTAGTCAGGGACTTGGGAGTTTCAATTGCAAAGGAGCTCAAGTGGAAGTCGCACATTAACAATGTCTATAATAAAGCTATGGGAGTTGTACATTGTCTATTCAGAAACATTCACTGCTCTGACGTTTTTGTGTGGATTAAACTTTTTAAGATGTTTGTGCTACCCTTGGTGGAATACTGTAGTGCAGTGTGGAGCCCCTTTCTGAAGAATGAGATCTGCAAAATTGAGAGGATACAGAAGAGTTTCACGAGAATCCTTTATTACCGAATGTTTCCAGACCCTAATTATCCCCTGAGCCTGCCGTCATATAAAGACCGTTTGAAAGCACTTAATTTGAAGTCTCTTTACTACAGAAGAATTCAGGCTGATTTGGTCTTAGCGTTCAAGATTTTGAGAGGGGAGCTGCGACTTCAACCATCAAAATATTGGACGTTTCGTCCCACAAATGGAAGAAGCGGTGGTTTTTTCCATTTTGTCCCAAAAATGGGCGTTTGTAAACTCCTGTCCAGTCATCATAACTTCTTTTGTAGGACCAGTAGATGGCTATGCAAACTTCCACAATCTGTCCTAGCGAGCAAAACGTCTGAAAGCTTTAAGAGAGCTATTATGGAGATCGACGTCCTACAAGCCATTGGTGTCGAGGATATCACCTAGACATCTACTCTAGTCCTTCGTTCTAGCCCATGACTATGTTTCGCTCTCTGTTATGTTTGTCATGCTTCTCCAGTCGTATATTCTGTCGACACAGTTGTTAATTTTGTTTTGATGTCTTTGCAGTTGAGCATTTGATTTTTTAGCTCTTGGCTGGTCAAGGGATTTAGCAGTTCCTTCGACTGACGTCAGACTGATTCCAACACTACACCCCTCTTTCTAGTGATCAAGGATGAGATGATGGTCCATAGGTGCTGAGGAACTGATTTTAAGTATGCTCCTTCTACGTCTCCTTTCTTAAAGTTGAAGTCCACGCCTGTTCTGGGAATGCATGGTTTGTTGTCTGGGCCTTTACCTAGCTTGCCGGGTCCACGAGGGTGGTCGGTATACCCGTGTGCCGAAGTCCCGGCAAGTGCCTATGACCCATTGTGGCACTAAAGGACACCATAGCCGACTGGTGTAGGTAATTGCCTGATATCACACCATTGCTGCCTCAGTTAGGCCTAGGTCTTCGCATCCCCTGATGATCATTCCTCCTATGATTTTTGCCTCGAACACATTACTGACATTTCATAGAGGGGTATGCGAGTTCCTATAGATCAGAATTCTCATGCTTTTTTCTCTTATATTATGCATTGATTTCCATACTGGATTTCACTGGCGTCTCTTGGACGTTAAATAAATAAATAAAAAATTCAGTCGTTGTACTTTGTGACCCCCAAAAAATATGTTCCCGCCCGCACCCTATATCATATCTTGAAACCAACTCCTGACGACCACTGGTGCCCGAGCTATGAATTTCGCGACACTTGCGTTCTAGCGCCTTTTATCAGCCCTTATCAGTTGTGATCACTTTCTTTACCCCACCAAATATGTTCCCGTCCCACCCCCTATATCATATCTTGAAACCAACTCCTGACGACCACTGGTGCCCGAGCTATGAATTTCCGGTCACACACACACACACACACACACACACACACACACACACACACACACACACACACACACACACACACACACACACACACACACACACACACACACACACACACACACACACACACACACACACACACACACACACACACACCACACACACACACACACACACACACACACACACACACACACACACACACACACACACACACACACACACACACACACACACACACACACACACACACACACACACACACACACACACACACACACACACACACACACACACACACACACACACACACACACACACACACACACACACACACACACACACACAAACCACACACACAACACACACACACACACACACACACACACACACACACACACAAACACAACACACACACACACACACACAACACACACAAACACACACACACACAACAACACACACACAACACTTATACATATATATACAACAACACCAACAACATACACACGTTAGCCGCTTATATATAGTACTATATATATCGGCTAAAGCGGTTGTGTGTGTGTGTCTGACCGGAAATTCATAACTTCACCCCCTTTGGACCCAGAGCGCTCAAACTTCTAGGATATATAGGGGGCCGGAGGTGAACACTGATGACGGGTGGCGGGAAGTGATAACTACTGATAGGAGCTGATAACGGACGTCGAAATGTTGATGTCACCAATTTCGTTGCACCGTTCGCGTTGACAGTGGAGAGTTTGCACTCATGTATGATATGTGGGGTGAGGCGGGGACCAAGAAGTTGATTGAAAACAAGAAGTTGAAGTGCTCAACTATTGACTTGAATAATAGCGATTTCATAGTTCAATTCTGTAAAATCTCGATTAGATGCATGATGATATGCTATACGAAGTTATTACACCGATTCTTCAGTGGTGGAAGTTCTATAGACCGCTAATATCATTCGAGCTCGATATGAATGTTGAATGTTTACGAAGTCATGATAAGTACCAGCCTCATTCCGCATGCACTGCGCGCAATACGCGACATTCTTCAATGGGATAAGACAGACCTTCAACATATGTGACACATCTTCCAACATCTTACTGTTAGTTTCTCAGTCACGTGACCTAATATTCAGCAAGTTGTCCAGTTTCACTAAAGCCCACCATTTGATGCGCGCGGTTGCGTGCGGAGCTAAACTGGTCAATCAATACGTATGTAGTCTTCACCGCCTAATCGCCTACTCGCCTGATCGCCTACTCGCCTACTCGCCTACTCGCCTATCGCCTAATCTATACGTATATTTTTCATTATAGACTAATCGCCTAATCGCACGTACGATCGCCAACTATGAACGCTCCATTAGTGATACATTGGGCAATTCTATGGAATGTTACTTGGATGTGAGGGCGGTTGAATACGCCTTACCTCTGCAAAGATCCTAAAGTATCACCGAGTAACGTCATCACCATATAGCAATACAGCTCTTTCTTCCCTGAATGTATTAATTGTGGCACATGGGGTCGTCCTTTTAACCGACTAAGTATCTGGAATTGGAGGCTTTTAGTTAATGACATGTGCTGGTGTAGAACTTCTATTAACCTGCACTTCCAATTTCAGAACTGTTCCACCAGCTACAAAATTTGATTCGGCTTTTAAAGCAGCCTGCAAAAACGATTCCTCCTAATTTTCCGTCTTGGGTGAGGTAAAAGTGACAGAGCTTCTTCCACTGGTTCACGAACGTAAAAGTAAACGTACCTCAGCATTATTATTCTTGATATCTTGCACTTTATACACAGATCCACAGCCGCCTTCGCCAAGCTTCTTCACGATCCTCCACCTTTTGCCAACTATTTTCCCTTTCGGTAATTGTACAGGACCGGTGTCCGACATAGATCGCCGAGTAGCGCCGAGTAGACTTATAAAAATGAGACATACCCACTAGTCAGCTGCCTTTTAAACGAAACTTCGAAATGGTGGTTGTTGCACAGCAGTTGGGACTGATAGCTTTATGATAACGAGGATAGAAAATAAACAACCCTCTTTTGACAACAAAATGAAACCTCTCCTCATTCTATGAGACAGGACAGAGCGAGAGGGAAGCCAAATCGTAACCAAACATATTTTTCACTATCTTCAAGGATTCCGTGGTAAGGACGAAGGTCGAAAAAAGGGAGCTTACCTAGTGGAGAGACAGATGGACCTCCTAAAGGTACGGACCGATGATCGCATCGAAGGATATGCCCCGGCGATCTAGCATGGCCTTCCCGCGGCGCTATTGGCGCGCTATCGGCGCGGTACGCCCCTCTCGCGTCGTCTCGTGTCTGAGTCTCTAGCCGTTCAGCAGAGAGAGCGTTAGCGTTGAAGAGGGCAGCACCGATGAGAGTCGCATCAATGCACGAAGGGATGGACTCCATTTCCAGGTTCTAGGCCCTTTTCTCATTTTTTTCTTCTTTCATGTATCACTGACCATCTCACTTAATTTCCAATGGGCTGCCTTTTCATCGTAAAATCCGCCTTTAAAACCTCCATGATTCCGAGCTTGAACCAATCACGAATCGAAGATAAGGTGGGCCGGACACGTCATGCGATTTTGCGATGACCGTTGGACCAGAGCGGTTACCGACTGGATCCCTCGGGACGTCAAACGAACACCTGGACGACCGCCGGCCCGATGGTCAGACTTCTTCACGAAAGCTCTGAACGAAAGGAATGAAGGACATCGTGTCCCTCGAGCGAGGAGGTCCACTGGACCTCTTGCACGCGACAGGGACGAATTCGCCCATGGACCCAGCACTCTACCCCTCCCCCCCCCGCGCACGCTCCACCGAACTCCGAATACTCACACCCCCAGGCACGACCCCGCCGCCGCCCCCACTCACCCACAGAGCCCCCCTGACTTACCCTCCCTCCCCCAGCCCACCTCACCTCCCATCCCCCCCCCCAAGCCCGCTCAATAGTCCCCCCGTCACCACCCGAAGCACCTCTCTCCTCCCAGAGCTCCGCCATCCTCTCCCACTCCCCGGCCTCATACCCCCTCTCTCGGGCCCTCCAACAGCTCCTCCGGCCCCACCAACGCTACTCACCCCTCGACCAGTAGACGATGAGCCAACTTTCGTTTAGCGCGAATCATTACATCAAATCATCTTGGACTATCGAATACGTGGGAAACCTTGTGGCAAGTGTAGTTTAATCTGCAGAACAGGAACATTACATTAGTTCGTTGCGATGGAGCTTGTAGCCTGCTCTACAGGCGCCGGCGCAAAACCAATGCAATAGTGCTGGCGCCAGGCTTTTCGCCAAACTGTGCGACATTCCTGTTATACGTAGTTATTAGCAATATAAATTTAAAATCCTTCTATTTTATAAAGCGCTAACTTTGTGTGTCGGTTTGTGTATCTGTATGTGTGTGTGTGTGTGTGTATGTATGTGTGTCCGTCCGCAAAATGAAGTGAGTGAGAAGGAAGCTCATGGGATAAACAAACCGCTAACAAATCGGGTAGCTTACAGGATTTGAGATATCAATGTTTTGTAGCAGGATAGTTGTGATAACACTCTTAGGGCTATATAAACACCTGCTTAGCACACTTCCGTTCATTCCACATGGTGCTGCAGTGGCAGCTGGAGGGCAGTGGAGAGAGGAAGGGAGGATGAGGAAGGGAAGCGAAAAATCTACCGTCATATCATGATTGTGTCCCTTCTACTGTATGAAACACCATTGTGTTGCATACGCGTCACTTCCAGGAGGTGTTGGTGTCACAGGAGGAAGGGACCATAGCAAGATAGAAAGCTCGTAATAACTTCTCGCCACAATACTATCACACCGCGCACACGCCGCTCACCGCCCCACACGGCGTTGACGGGGGACTAATCTTGGTTAGATAGTAATCTAGTAAGGAATGGGTCGGAGGCAAAACTGGGATATTCGCAAAAAGAAATTGAAGGGGAAAATTTAATAATCATATAGGTTAACCTGCGTAACGGTAAAAAGTGTCGCCGACGACAAACAACACAAGAAAGCGTTTTTTCGTGCTTCTCTTTCCTTTTACGCTTAAAAACGATTAGGCTGGATACTTTAAGTTGAAGGAAGCAGAGGACACGCGGGGCGCGGCGCTTCTATCCGTCTGTTCGCTCTAGAAAGCTGCGTCAAAGGGGCAGTTACTATTATTTCGCGCCAGTGCAGTTTGGAATACGCAAAAGACCACGCCCCGACGTGAAGTCCTTCCAACTAAGTTAGCGGCGAAAACATAATCGATATCGATTTTTGGAGCGCACTGCTCATGTTAAAAAAATAGTGCACGAAAAGTGATTTCGGCGAACACTTTTGACCGCTACTGTATATAACAACATTAAAATCTGGAGAGATTTTATCATCTTTGCGTATCTGGGCGAGTGGTTTACGCGTCCTTCGATAATAGGGATGAAAAATTAGGGGCTAGCTTCTGTTGATTTGCTCCGAAACCAAGCGAAATATTTGGCCAGAAAAATGTGAAAAACCAAAAAAAACCTCGAACATAAAGTTTTTGTTTTTTTAGCTTTCCACAAAGTTTAACAAGTAGTGACATGTGAAGCTGCTGCGAACAGGTAATGAGTGACGTGACAGCAACAGCGGTTTTTTTCTCACTATTATGAGATTGCGTCCCTACTGCTGTCGTTCTCCTTCTGTAAGGTCATCTATTTCAGCACTTGTCGTAATTGTTCGTGTAGTGTTTATAAATTGGCGCTCACTGGCCTTAGGGGGACATTCGCAACCACAAAAGCGTTAAAAAGCGCTGGTAGATGACACTAGGACTAAGCACAGGAGAGGGGAGAAGCACCAGGGAAAACAAAGTTTGTTTGCGTCCTCCCCAGATCCCTTCCCTTCCTTGAAGCTTAGTCCTTCAGTGGGCCACTCACTCCTGTGTCCTCTAACGACATGAGCGCCAGGAATCCTTTCCAGAAAATTCTTGCATTCTTTTTCAAAATAAATACCCTCGCCTTCAAATAACCAGAAATTGTGCAATTGCAGAAATTGACGTGGCATTAACGTGGCATCGATTCAAGAACATCTTTGAGCACACGTGATGTCACCTTTTCATCGAGAATTTAGCCACGTGTGCCAATGCCACGTCAATTTCTGCAATTGCACAATTTCTGGTCATTTGAAGGCGAGGGTATGTAAGCTGTGATCAATAGAGACAGCATAGAAAGTTTATGCACGAACATTTAATTCCCGAAGAGAAACAAACTTACGAAGACCACTTTCTATGGACAGTTGAAGGAAGGTTGCGCAGCGGCAAATGCGGGGCGTGGAACGAAGTGGCCGGTGGCCGCGGCCATGTATTTAGGTTTTTCGAAAACGCGAGTTTTTGGAGAATAAGGACAAATCGATCGATAGAATAGGATGCAGCAGAAGTGTGAAATGTTTGTGAAATATGTTAGATCAAAAAGAGTTTCTAGTGACAGCACACCAAGTTCAAGTATTCCCGCCGCCAGCATTTATGACAGATGTCCGGTGGGAATTTGAACGCATCGCGGTCCTTCCGGTTTTTCGAACTGTTTACCAGAATAAATGCAATGTTTTTGTTCAACGCAAACGGTGGGTCTCCAGCCAGTGATTAATGGGTGAGATAGAATCATGATTTTTTCGGGAAGGATTCCTTCAGTAGTATTATTGCGTTAGCTCCTGTGATTGCAGGAATATCTCGAAAATGAGGAAAACGTGTCCTATTTGTGGATTTCGGCTCATAAAAGGAAGTACAAAACACGCATCTTCGAGGAAGTCTCAGAATCGGATAATGTTGATGTCCCTGTCGTTGGCCGGACTGATAAATAATGAAGAAGTTAACAGCCTAGCTGAACGCCTAACGAGAACTAGACCACCAATATGCATATCACACCTTGTTAAAGCCGTGAGTGTAAACCCATACATACAACCTTTGTGGCGCTCATGTCTAGGGGGTGGGGGGGGGAGGCAGAAGGAGGGGGTGGCATTCAAAACATTGCCGGTGGTAGGTAACGTTGAACTGACCCAAGCAGAGTCAACCCTGCGTTGCGCAGTTCTCAACGGCCACGTTGCGCAGTTTCGCCCGATTAGACACGTTCTCTCGCGCGAACATTCACACTCGCATGCTCGAGCCGTCTGTGTCTCCGCCCATACAGCGTGCGTTGAGGATCTCTCAACGTGCCGTTGCGAACTGCGCAACGCAGGGTTGACTCTGCCCAGAAGAGGGAACCAAAAGCGAAATGCTCTGCGCAATCTTCCAGAGTCTCTCTGCCTCTCTGAGCAGGGTCAACCATGCGTTGCGCAGATTTCAAAATCCATACGACCCCTACCGTTCCGGAGGGTGTCACTACGCCCCTCGTATTGGCTATTGTGTCTTTTTACATGTAAATATTTATGCCCATCATCGATGTATGGGCTGTTACCGACAGGGAGAAGAATGGTCAGTGGTAAGTCCGTGCGCGTTGTCTCGCTCAGAGGACGGGAATCGGGACACATGGAATTTTACTCATCACATTAGGAGGTAAGCAAACCAGCCCTTTTGGCGTTTCGGCTGGGACCGTATGCTGAATGTTGGGGAGGGGATGGGGTCCCCAACGGTCGACGGTTTACTTCAACTCGGTTGGTACGATAGGAGAGTACTGACGCAAGTGGTGCAGCTGGTCCAGCAGCTCCGCCAGAAGGGCTGGTTTGCTCACCCCAGGACTAAGCCTTGGAGAGGGGACGGACCCGTCCTCTCTTTAAGGCTTAGTTCTGAGGTAAGCACCAAATTGTGGCGGTTCTAAGGACCGAGTTGAAGTGGTCCGTCCACCGTCGGGGACTCCATCCCCTCCCCAACATTCAGCATACGGTCCCAGCCGAAGCGCCAAAAGGGCTGGTTTGCTTACGTCATCAATTAGAAGTAATTTGTTAATTTTCAAGTAGATTTCGGCATGGTAGTAATTGCAGAGATTTCTACTTTTTAGAAACCTTCCAAGATTTTTCAAACTCCCAAATCTGTTTTTTTATAAACTGAATAACTAACCTTGCAGCAATTACGTTACGATACAAACCTCTTCATTTAAAAGGTTATATCTTTCTTCAAAGCGGTCTCATGAGATAGGATACGGAAATTGAAAAATTCAAGTTGTTTTTTTCCCAAAAAGTTTTTGAACATTCGCGAATGCTCAATTATTCAAAAAATAATTGTTCAAAAAATCGTCCCGCTGTTCCATTTTTCTGCACACGCAGGCTTTCATCATTCAAACGTCCATGGCCCTTCATTACTAACTTTCTGTAGATCTGTAAGGTTAGAAGCTAAAAGATTAGTGCTTTCGAAAAAGCACCTGAAGCTTTTCCAAAGATCACTTTCTCAAAAAATAGTCCCGTTGTTCCGTTTTTCAGGGGTTTGTGGTCCGATTTTTGAGAACGCGCGAGTTTTCGTCATTCAAACGTTCATAACTTCCTTCTTCCATTTTTGCAGATCTTTGAAGCTAATTGGAAACTAGAAGAGCTGACGCTTTCGAAAAATATCTCAATTCCTTTGAATGATCACTTTTTCGAAAAATCGTCTCGTTGTTCCGTTTTTTCGCTCTGTCTTTTTTAGGTCATTCTCCTGAATTGCGGACCTTCGAAGGACCTTAATTTTTTGAAAACCGGTAAATGAAGAGCGGTAAAAACCATTGAAATTTAAAAGATTAGTACATCATAGCATATGCTAGAAATATTTTGAAAGGAAAACTTTTCTCTGCCAAAAGTTTCTATTAGACTCTAGAGGTCAATCCGCCGAATTCGCTGCACTTTTCTCCACTTTGATTTGGTCTAAAAGCATGGGAGTTTCTCTGAAAGAATTTTTCGCTTGTGCTCACTGGGACATGACGTATTAAGAAATCTCGCTCTGGGATGCGCCATTCAATCGTCTGTGGTGCGTAGTCGCAGTGGCAGTTGAAAGTCTGTCCTCCTTTGCCACTTAGCCACGCCTTGGCAGCTTCTAATTTTGTGAATGGTACTTGAATTACGACCCCCCCCTTTCCTTGCAAATACGACTCTCGTTGTTCTTGCGCACGGTTGACTTTGTCCCTGAGGAATAGTTGGAAGTACTCTACAAAAGTCTCAGGTGCCAAGCTTTTTCAAAACGGTCTTTTGCATGATATAGAGGCACATGCGGGAAC